AAAGGAAAAGGAAAATAAGAATTAAAATAGAAGTTAAAATAAAAATATAAATTAAAATAGAAATTAAAGCTTCCTTAGCAGAAAATAAAAAGAAAAAGCCGCGAGGGGTTTTCCATCGGCGGCAGCACCGGGCGCCCGGGCCCGCTGCAACCGAGAGGCGGATTTCGGCCGGGGCATCGCGTCTGGCCCCAGTAATTGCTAAAAAAACCCTAAATCCACTTGATTTGGGTGCCCTTCGCAGCCTGATGAGGGGAAGCCTCGGCCGGGCCGCCCCACGGCCGGTTATTTACAGCGGGAGGAGATGGCGAGTAACGGAGCGGGCCGGACCTGACGGGGTGGGGGAAGGAATTTAAGAAATGCCACGCAAGGAGAAGTTTGCGAGGCGGGGGAAGGGATCGTGTCCTCTCCGCTCCGCACCCGGCTGCGCTCTGCCGCGCACGGAGGAGGCGCGCTCTGAACCCACGCGGGTTTAATTCACTCCCAACCCCATCAACTGGGATTTGCTTATTCCACAACGGGGAACACTCAGCTCTGTGTATCCCCCTCCCCATCCCCGCCAAAATCTTACTCCGGGGTGGAGGTGACAGGGTCCTCCACTTCCCGGGTCACCCGTGTGCGTGTCCCACGCAACGCCACCCACGCTCGGCGCTGTAACCCGGCCCGGCCCCTCTCGGCCTTTCCCGCAGGGAAAGCCACTTGCAGGAGAAAGGATTTGGGGGTGCCGCTCCCCATAACTGCGGGCGTGGGGGTCCCTCCACGCCCACGCCCCGCGAGCATCCCCTCCTGCAAAGCGCAAAGCCCCGTGGCCTGGCGTGGAGGGCAACAGTGAGCCCACGGGAGCGCGTGGATGGGGGGAGAGGACTGGGAATGGCCGTGTCCTGCCAGGCCTCTCCCGTTCCCTGTCCGAGGTGGAGTGGGGGATTGCAAGGGGGGGCATCCGCACCCCAAAACTGGGTCCTCGAGCTGGGAGAAGAAGTGAAACTCTTCCCCACCCGGAGTGGGTCTGGATCATCCGCGGACCGAGAGAAAAGCACGGCGGTTCGGAGGGACCGCGCTCGGCCGACCACAAACTTTCTTAGCTCAGCTACCGGGATGCCGCCGGGTGGAGGGAGGGAGAGGGGAGAGGAAGAGGGAGGGAAGCTCCACCTGACCCCCGGGGCTTTGGGAGAAACTCTGACCCCGCAGCCTGCCTTGCGTGTCCCCGCACCCCCAGCCCCGAGCAGGAGCTGGACCCGCTCCCGGGGCATCCTCCCCGCGGCCCCGCAGTGCTGCCGCCCCCAACCCATAATAAAGACGCTTTGAGAGTCCTCCCTCTCCTCCTCCACCCCCCGCCCCCCACCCCGTTCCCCCCTTATTTTTTTTTTTTTTATTATGGTTTTCTTACCGAGTCCAATAAATCGCGCGGCTCGTCTGGCCTCAGACGTGTTCAGCAACCCAAGCCCCGCCGCTTTTGTTCCGCCAAGTCTCACATTGTTTGTCCGGCTGCGGGGCCGGCCCCGCGCGGCGCGGGAGGCTGCGGGGGGCTTCGCGGGGTCTTCGCGGGGGCTCCCTGGCCCGACCGCGAGCACGGGGCGGGGGTGGGTGGGCGATGGTCGGCCGGCAGAGAGTCCGACCCGACCGCTCCTCTTTCTTTCTCCCGGGTTCCTCCCCTACTTCTTCACCCAGCTCGGGGCGTCTGTCGGCGGGCGATGCTCCCGTACGGGCAGCGGGTCCTTTCTGCGCTGCCCTCTCTGCCCTGCTCTTCAACCTGCACTGCTTGCCCTCCCTGCATTGCCCTGCCTGTACTGCCCTCCCTGCCTGCACCGCCCTCCCTGCCTACCTGTCTGCATCGCTCCGTCTGCTCCCACCTGCCCTCCCTTCCTGCTCTCTCTACCTGCTCTCCCCGCCTGCCTATCCTGCCTTCCCTCCCCTGCTGGCTTTGCCTGCCCTCACCTGCCCTGCCCTCACCTGCCCGGCCCCGGCCCCACTCGCCCCCCGGCCCCGCGGCCCGTGGGTCTTCACGGTGGCCCCGAGCCCGGAGCCGCCGCCGGAGGAGCGGGGGCCGTGCCCGGCGTAAGGATATATAGGAGCGGCCGAGGAGCCTCCACGTAGCCGATACGTAAAGTGTACGTGTGAGAGTCAAAAAAAGTTGGGATGCAAATGCGGGGCCAGCTCCATCTCGCGCGGGGGGGCCGGGAAGGGGAGAGGCGGGGGGGGGGGAGCTGTGGGGAAGGGGGGGAGCCGCGCTATTTCCAAGCTTCCTTAACCTCTGGATTGCTCGAAATCGATCAGCAAAGCGCAGCAAGCCTGGCAATTAGGAGCTCATTACCATATATGCAAATATGGCAACCTCTCTCCTCCGCGGCCACGGAGGCGCGGGGGGCGAGAGAACCACAGCAGGGTTTGGGGTGGGGGTCGGGGTGATGCGTGCGGGGGAACGGAGACAAGGAGGGGAAAAGGTTATTTGGGGGTATTTGGTAGGTTTTAAAGGAGAACGGAGGAGCCGCGGGGGCACAAAGAGCTCGGGCAGGCGTTGGGGGGTGGGGTGGGGGACGCAAACACTCGCGCCCGGGGCCCGCGGGGCTGCTCCGAATTCGCTCCTTAAATCAAATAAAATTTTTCTCCCTTTGAACTAAACTCCGAGAGAGCAGCACGGCCCGGACGGGGTGTGTGTGTATGTGTGTGTGTGTGTGGGGGGGGGGGTCCCTCCGCCCGCCGAGGAGCCCCCAAAAACCACACGGTGCCCGCAGCACGTATCGGGATTAACCCGGTACTCCGGGGACACGCGGGGGGCCGGGGCCGGACCGCTCCAGCCCCGGTCGGAAGGAGTGTTTTAAAGGTAATCTCTGACTTTTTGCATTTTATTAACAAAAAAAAACCACCATAAAGCGGCGATCCCCGGCGCACGCGCTCGATAGCGGGTTTCCTTCTTACCTGCGGTTTTATAAGCGTGGTAGGGTTTTTTTTTGCTTAATAAGCACAGATTAGGGGTAAAGTCTCCCTGGCATTTCCTGAATGCTGATTAAAGCTGGGGGGGGTCAAGGCAGGAGCAGCGCAGGGAGCGGTTTTTTTTTCCGCGGTGGGGCTCGGGGTGGGGGCATCGCAGCGTCTCCCTCAGTGGCACCTTAGGAAGTTCCCCCCTCGACTGGGGAACTGACTTTGTTTTCCTCCTTCCACAAACCCTGATCACAGCGTATTAAAGAAGAAAAATGCCCCTTTCCAGCTGGGCTCCAATATTCCACCCTGCTCCGGATTATTTTATTTTCCCCACAAATAAATAACATTTTTTTTCTCTTTCAGCCGCTGCCCAAACCCCCCAAGTAACGAGAAAGAACCGAAATCAGGAAACGATTCCTTACGTTGAGCCTTGGTTTAAATATTAAAAAGACAGAAAAAAAATAGTCAAAGTGAACAAAACATCCCCGAGGGCTCCGGGGGGCATGGGGGTGGCAGCAGCCCCACCAGCCCGGCCGGCTCCGTGTGCCGGAGCCCGGGTTGTTCCTGCTCGCAAGCGCAACAGCCGCGGGGACAGAGTTAATCGCGGGGAGTCTTTCTCCTTCCTTCTTTCCGGTTTTTTTTGAATTTATTTTTATTTTATTTTATTTGGGGAAAGCCCTTTTCTGCAGTTGCATTCGCACCTCGGCAGCTGAGCCGCTTTTCCCAGCCCCGTCTGGGTCGCCGCTCTCTGCATTCCTCTACGCTGTCCCTCTTTAATTCCCGACTCACCGGGATTTATATTATAATAATAAATTGTTTTTCCACCCCGTTTGTTTATTCCGAATGGCCAGAACCGGCGAACAGCCGCGGCCCCGGGCAGAGGGACCGCCCGTCACCCCGAGCATCTCCGTCCGTCCCATTCCGTAGTTTGATTTGGTTATTATTTATATTTGGGGAATTCAGCCGCCTGTTCCCGCAAACCTCCCGTGAGTTTCGAAAGGCAGAGAACACTGTTTTGGAAAGGAAATGAAAAGAATTAAAATTCCTTTTGGGTTCCCTCTCTCTTGGCGAATTCACCAGCCACCGACGACCAACGAGATGAAGCGTTTTCCCTGCAGATATCCTCACTCCAGCTCCGAGACCCTCTGGCATCACTTCCCCACCCGCCAGCAAGGACGGCGGCTTCGCCCATCAGTTTAAGCTTAAAAAAAAAAAAAAAGAAAAGAAAAAGAAAAATATTATTATTTTTGTCCCTCCTTATCCCGAAGTAACAATTAAAGAAAGCGAGGACCTTTGCCTTCTACTGGGACAGACCTTCATTTTTTTTTGGGCGCCGCTTTATTTTATGTGATATTGAACTTCAAAGAGGAGGGGTTGGAGCGAAGAGAGGGAGAAATTTTTTTCGGGATTCCCTCGGCATTGCTGGCTCCTCCAGTGGAAGGCACGCAGCCTTTGCCTCCAGCCCGTTTTGTGCCCGTCTCATCTCACATTTATTTTCCCAGCGCCAGGCGCTGCCACAGGGCAGGGAAAGGGGCGTTAGTGCCGCAAAACGGGCGCTTCAAACTTATTTTTAAAGCGAGTTTCTGCTGGAAGGCAATTCCCGGGCGGCGGCGGCGGCGGGGGCGATCAGTCTCGGATAATCCAGGAGGATTTTCACCTCGGAAAACCGGGATTTTCGGCGGTGGGCGTCCCGGGGGAGGCAGGAGGGAAGGGACCGCTCCCCGTCCCTCGGTACTTCGCGAGGGGAAACCGCCACCACAAACCCCCCCTGCCCCGGCGGGGAGCAGCGCAGCCCTCGCATCTTTCAAAAAAAAAAAAAAATTTAAAAAATGCAAAAACCCCTCCAGAAAACCCAAAGCAAACTGGCAATTCCGCCCCGGAGGGTTCTGGTTTGCAGCGCACAGGGCGGGGAGGGTCCCCCACCCGGTGCAGCCCCCCACGGGAGTTTTTAAGATGCCTGTGCAAGGTATCACAGAGCTGGGGGTGCAGCTCTGTCCTCCCAGCCCCCTCCCCACCCCCTGCCAAGGTGAGACCCGGGGAGAGGTCTCTCACATCCCGGGAGTGGGGGGTGTGAATCGGCAGCAGCACCCCCAAAACTGCTCAGAAACCCCCCTGGGGTGTGCACAAACCCCAACTATGCAGGTGTACCCGCCTGGTGTGTGCCCTGCGTGGGTGTGTGCCCTGCGTGGGTGTGCCCCGTGCATGCAGGGGGTGTGTACCACACGTGTGGCACACGGGAGGCCCCGTGGGGTGCAGGGTGGGGGGCACACTCCGGCTCCATCCACCCATCCAAGCAGCTCTGGGCTCCCTCCTTGCAGGGCACCTGCAGGGAAATATTCCCTCTGCCCCTGTGCCTGTGGAGGGGCAGAATAGCCACTGTAAAAAGGCTCTGTCTGCAGCCCTGCCCGGCTTGGGGAAAAGCAGTGGGTGCTCCCTGTGCTCACTGGTGGGTGTTGGACACCAGTGAGAGCCTCAGAGCCCGTGCAAGGTGCAGGGAGCCTGCAGGGCCCCAGCAGGGAGCTTCCCCGCTGGGATTTTTAAGGGAAATTCCCTCCTTTTTTTTCCTCTCAGCTCAGAGAGGCTCCACCAGGGAGGTGTTTCAGCTCTGTAAGAAATGTCACATATGGATCAAAGATGATTTTTGGCTTTTTTAAGTATTTGCTCTGATGTGTCCACAAATATGCGTGGCTTTAGACAAGCCATGTGGGTTATTTTCTATGAACCACATCCACACAACCTCTGAAACTGTGAGTGACTGCTACCACGGGATGTTCAGACACAGGTTTTCGTTTGGGATCCTCCCAGCAGTCCCAGTCACCTCAAAATCTGGGGTGCAGGTTGGTGGCTCGTGGATTTGGGCGAGGAAGAGGAGTCTGGAGCTGGGTGATTTTTAGAGAAGGGTCTTTGTCTCAGTGCAAAGCCCCAACCCCGTGGACGGCACTTCCCTGCCTTCGCTGGGCACTTTTGCCATGCGGTGCCACCAGACAAAGAAAGTGGCAACAAAAGCTGCATTTTGAGGTGAGAGGGTGCAGGCATACCGAAGGAACAGCATCAGAGAAGCTCCAGGGCCGTCCCCAGGCCTGCAGGGTCGTGCCAACCGTGTAGGGGCAGCCGCTGCCTGCCCTGGCAGGCTCCACCCTGGGCACCAGCTCCCTTTGCTCCAGCCTTGACTGAGCCTCATAGTGAGGCAATCCCTTCTCCCTCGACTCTGCTCAGGGCTGGAAAGCCTCGTGCCTTCCCCCTGCCTCTCTCCTCAGCGAGTGTTTTACTACCTCAGGTAGAGGTTTAACAGCTCAGGAGGTTTTAGTAGTTCACCCCAAAGGCCAAACAGCGGCTCGATGCCCTCCAAGGCACCCACGTAACGTGGTAGCTTCGGAGGGGAAGGGGGCTGGAGCCTGAAGACAAGCGAGTTCATTTATATCAGACCATCTCAGCCTGAGATGAGATGTTATCCTCAGCTTCAGCTCATCCCCAGACCAAAAGAAAAAAAAAAAAAAAAAAAAAGCCAGGGAAAAAAAAAAACCCAAAGACCAAACAGAAACTAAATACTAAAAATTCCCTCTTGTGGGAAGAGGGGAGCTCTGTTTCGTGTGGGTAAAATTGGGTGAAGTGTCCCCCCGGCACCTACCCCAGCTGCCCCAGCTGCCCAGAGCCCTCAGTCCAGCAGGTGCCTTTTTCTTCTGCCTCAAAGGGCTTTGATCTGGACAGCTCTTTTGGAGAACGGCTGTCGTAAGGGATGCCTGGCACGAACGCGGCCTGATTGCAGCCCAGCTCGTTAAAAAACACGTTCCCTAGGTATTGAAGGGGATAACAAGGATATTTAAACATTCCCAGCGTGCACCTTTAAGCGGCAGAAAATAAGGGAAATTGCCATCGTTTAATTCAGTATTGCTCCTTTTGAACTCCCACTGGCTCTGCCTGCAATTGTTCCCTTCGCCGGAGCTCGGAGCCGAGTCTGGATTACAGGGGCGATGGGTTGCGGGTCCGGAGGGTTGGGAAGGGCTGAGCACAGCAGGACCAGCTTCCCCACGCAGCAAAAGGCCGACAGGGCTGGTTTCCATTGGGGGCTTTGAAAGATTTTCCCTCAATAGCTCCGAGCAGGGTCCAGGTTTGGGGCCCACAGCCTCAGTTTGTAATTACTCCCGTATTTTGTGTGCGCCAGGGAGAGGGTGGAGCAGCGTTTCTTTTTTGTCTGTATCTCTGAGGAAGCTTTTTCCAAAGTGAGAGCAGCAAAAAAAAAAAAAAAAAAAAAAAAAAAAAAAAAAAAAAAAAAAAAAAAAAAAGAAAAAAAAAGAAAATCCACAGCTGGTGTTGGTGGATGAGACACTCAGCCATGTTCTGGTAGAGGGGGGGAAAAAAAGACAAAGTCTAATTTTAGATGTTCTGAAATGCTTACAACATGCATCCCTCCAATGGCCTGGCACGGGCACCGGTGGTTATTTCCACCCCAGCAGAAGGAGAGAACAGGGAGATGGGATCTGCCCTGCCCTGCACTGAGCTCTCCCCAGGTGACCCCAAGGGATCTGCCCTGGGCAAGGCCCATTCCTTAATATTTACAGAGAACAGCTCCTGGGCACAGGAAGAGACAGGGCTCCTCTTATCTGGGGCACTTTGCTCACGTTTTGGCTCAGCCCCTCCTGGCCAGAATTCCTGTGGGAATGTCTCCATCCCCAGAAAAGCAGCTTTGGGAGCCCCACTGATGCCAAACCCAAATCATGCTCTGACAGCCCATTGCTTAACAGGAAGTTCATTATTTCCCAGGTTTTTTTGCCCTCAACACCCGTGTCACCCCCTCCACACTTCCCCCACTCCTCTGCCAGCCCCGTGTGCCACCAGAGCCCCAACCCCACCCACCCCTCCCACAACCCACCTCCCTCCCAGACCTCTCCTGCCAACCCTGGGGATGTCGGACCCAGATCCGAACAGTTCCTGGTTTTCCCGTTTTTCCCCCAAAAGAGCCGTCCTGCAGCAGCACACGAGCGCTGCAGCAGCTTTAGGGGGGAACTCTCCAGCCCCGCAGCGGGGAATTGTGCCGGCCAGGCAGGACAAAGCGGCTCAAAGGGCTGCAGCCCCCTGCCCGAGCCCAGCCTTAGGGGAGGGTGAGGGTCTCAGCTTACCCGGCCTCTCATAAAAGTCTCCTCCATTCTAGCAAAATAACCTTTATGTCCAGGGACTCGCAAAGTTTGCTTTCTCCCTCCAGGGTTAGTCACAGCAGGAGCGGCAGAGAAAGCGACCGCTTGTAGGAGGTTCCTCTGCATAATAACCTCAGAGGAGTTTAGGTCTAAAGACTAAAAGGCTCTATTTACTTTCACTGACAAGGAACAATCTAAGCAGATGTCCTTTGATGGGATTAGTTATTAATCCTTGAATCATGGGTAAATGGGAAAATGATCCATTATTTTCTGCAAAATCCTTCACTACTTTAGATTTCAAGGATGGGGTGGAGGATTGTTAGCAGAAAGGTCCCGACCTGTCTGTTTTGGCCGGTTTAAAATGTATTTTTACAGTTTGTGCCGTGGAGCGTGACTCTGAAATAAAATTAAAAAAAAAAAAAAAAACAACTCAAGAAAAAGGAGTTTGATTCCACTGATGGCTGAGAACAATGTGCCGAGTTAGACACTCAGCAACGATGGGCCCGGGCGTTTCTTGGGTGAATACCTTGAGGTTTATAATAATAATAATAATAATAATAATAATAATAATAATAATAATAATAATAATAATAATAATAATAATAATAATAACTCCCCCCTCTAAAAACGTATTCTGCCAACAGCTTTGGCAGCTCTGCTGAAATGTTTGGATCCTCCCCACGTCTCCGTGTCCCCTCAGTGACAAACGGCCCCCGTGGGTCAGGTGGGGCTCAGAGTCAGCTTGGGCATCCCATGAATAGTGTGTGTAGGTGGGTGTGATGCGTGGGTTGAGGGAGGGGTGGGAATTGCTGGTGAGACACACCGGGTTGGCTCGGGGGACTCGTTTTCCCCTGGGTGTAAATCGGTGCAGACGCTTTCTGGTGCAGGGGGAGGTGCAGCCACGTCCCACGGGCTGGGTGGGAGATCCTGCCCTGCCCTGAGGGGCTGGAGGGCACGCTGGTGTTGCTCCCACCCGTGGGTTCAGCCCAGCCCCTTGCCCCCCACGGGAGAGCAGAGCCAGGAGCTGGAGTTGCCGGCAGTTCACCCGTCCCTCAGCCCGGTGAACATTCCCAGTCCCGAGACAGCCAAACTCTGCCTCCGAGTCTCCCATGCAGGGAGAGCAGGAATAGATTCCCAATGAATAATTTACTCCGCTTTCTTTTGATTTGCCTTCTGATTGTGCACAGCGGTGCAGGCTCGGAGGGGGAAACATATTCTGATTAAAGATTTATACTGGGCCTATAATTTTGTTGTTGTTGCTTAAATCTACTTCAAAGTGCGAGCGGGGTGGGTGTAAAATAAACACTCTGGAGAAGCCAGGAGCTTTTGGACCATCTCAGGGTGCGAGTGTGGGGGTGCACAGCGTGTGCAGAGCGTGTGGTTCCATGGATACAAATTTCACACTGGAAAGGTGCTGTCCCAGGCATCCTCCTCACATCCAATCCAGCCAAACAGGGACTGAAATGCCCTCTGTTGACTCAAACTACTGACTGTGTGTTCCTTCTCCTGAGCTGAGACCACATCTCAAAAAAAAAGAGAAATAACATGAATTTGGGCTTAATTCTTTTACCACTCTTTTTTTGTTCTTTTACTGTTCTTTGACCACACAAAGAACAGTGTCTGGCTGCAGGGAGTGATTAGACCTGGAGCTGGAAGAGGCTCTAACTAAAGGTCACCCCATACACAGGGAGGGACCAAACTTCAGCTTCCAGCTTGGAAATACGGGCGTGCAGCACTCCAGGTCCTTCCCAGGCTGCCAGCTGAGTGAGCAGGCCAGAGGATTTTCTCTTTCCTTCCTCCTTCTTCCTCTTGTTGCCATGTCCCCAGCAGGCAGCTCCACTTCCCAGTGCAGACAGAGAGCACCTGTGGCACAGAGGGAGCTGTGGGACAAACAGTGGATAAACCCTCGGTGTTGCCATCCCCATGTCTGGTTGACCAGGGAAGAGGGAGACCTGGCTCCTGGAGCTCCCAGTCTGCTCCTGGGAAACAGGAGATTGCATGAAACAGAATTTGGAACAAAAATGGGATATCTGGGGGCTGGCTGGTGGCATTCAGGTGACTGAACACGTCGGTACAAAGTCCTGTCAAGAGAAACCCCTCAGAGATGGATGGCTTTGGATCCCCCTCTTCAAACCATCTTCCCAAGATGGAGAAACCTCTCTGGAAGCACTGGGAAGTCTGTGGATGCCCCAGCTCCTCAAAGGGAAAGACAGGCCCTTTCCTCACCTGCATGGGTTGGAAACCTTGCAGACTGCCCCCAGACCTGGCTCCTGTGGCTGGATCAGCCAGCAAAGAATCAGAGAATCATAGAATGGTTTGGGTTGGGAGGGAATGTAAAGCTCATCTCGTCCCATCCCCCTGCCATGGGCAGGGACACTTCCAACTAGCCCAGGTTGCTCCAAGCCCCGTCCAACCTGGCCTTGGACAATTCCAGGGATGGGACAGCCACAGCTTCTCTGGGCAACCTGTGCCAGGGCCTCCCCACCCTCACAGCCAAGAATTCCTTCCCAAAATCCCATCTAATCCTGCCCTCTGGCATTGGGAAGCCATCCCTCCTTGTCCTGTCTCACCAGGTCCTTGTCCCCAGTCCCTCTCCAGCTCTCCTGGAGCCCCTTTAGGCCCTGCAAGGGGCTCTCAGGTCTCCCTGGATCCTTCTCTTCTCCAGGTGTCCCAAAATCGCAGCACCCCCTTTTTCAGAGTCCCTCCCCCCCGGCCCCGGTGATTGACAGCTGTCAATCAGCGCCGCCGAGCCCTGCGCTCTGCCGCCACCTGGCGGCCGACGTGGAGAAACGCGCCCCTGCAGGGCCGACCCCCCCCCAACCCCACCCGACTGGCATCGGGAATGGCTTGGCTGTAAGAGCTTTAAAGGGAATAAAGGGGCAGAGCAGAGCCCTCGCGGGGTGCGGAAGGGGATCTTTCTCCCCTCAGCCCGATCGGTTTTGGGCTGAAAAGGAGATTTTTCGCTGGGAGGCAGCTCTTGGCCTGGTTTAGTTGAAATCACGCAGTCACGGAGTTGTGCTGGTTGGAAAAGGCCTCTGAGATCACAGAGTCCAACTGTTCCCCCAGCACTGCCAAGGCCGCCACTAAACATGTCCCCAAGTACCACATGTGTGTTAAATCCCCCCAGGGACGGGAACTCCACCAGGACTCCACAGCCAGTGCCAGTGCCCAACCATCCTTTTAAGGAAGAAAATCTCACTAATATGCAACCCAAACCTTCGCTGGTGCAACCTGATGCTCCTTCCTCTTGTTGTGTCCCTTGCCCCCTGGGATCAGAGACCGACCCCTGCTCGGCTCCAACCCCCTGTCAGGCAATTTTAGAAAGTGAGAAGGTCCCCCCTGAACCTCCTTTTTCTCCTGGTTGAGCCCCCCCCAGCTCCCTGAGCCCCTCCTTGTGCTCCAGACCTTCCCCAGCTCCTTCTCTGGACACATAGGATTCGAGGAGAGGCCCCCAGGAGCTGGGGTGCTGCTGCCCTTCCTGCAGGCATCAACCTCACAGCACTCCTGGGTGTATCCTGAATCCAGAGTGTGCCATGGGGACCCCAAACCAAAGGCAGGTCCTCAGGAGCTCCCACTTACCCAGAGCCCTGGCTGGAAGCCCAACAGAAATCCACCCCTGGGTGGTTTTAAAGTCAAACCCCCACCAGGAAAAGCTTTGGGTAGGAAAAGCAGTGCCTGATCTGGAAGGAGGCTGCGAGGATCTGTGGGAGCCACAGCATCTTGGGGTGTCTCGGGGTGTCCACTCCAGCCCAAGGGCTCGGTGCCTCCAGCAGTGAGGCACCAGAAACCGGCTGGTGGGAACCACCATCTCCACTGAGAGCATCCCAAGGCATCTGAGATCATCAAAGAGCAGCCAAGAGTACCCCAGGACAGCTGCCACCCCTCCTCAGGGTGCAAAAGAAAGAGCCAGAGGCACAGAAAATTATCAGAAACGTGTATTTTTTTTTCTTTTTAATAGTAAACCTCTTTACAACAAATATAGTGAAAGAGTTTCCAAACAAAACTCATAAGAATTTCTCATGGTAATTATTATTATTATCATCATTTTTTTTTATATATTTTTTTTCTTATTGTGGAATATACAATAACGCATCACCATACAGCACAAAAAAGGAATATTGAAAAAACGAAACAGACGTCTCAACCACGTGCTGCAGTCCCTGGGAAGGAGCCACTGATTGTCAAGGGAGCAGGGACAGGAGAGGATGGGGACGGGGCGGGGCAACGGCGTCCCCGGGGTGCGGGAGGTTCTCGGTCAGGCCAGACCCCCAAGGGTGCAAATACTCCAGAGAAAGATGGAATTACTCCAAAAATCACGGTTAAAACGTCACAAGCTCTCGGTATAAATCCTCCCTCCCCTCCCACTGCTGCCTCTGGGCTTCTGCTGCATCGCCCCCCCCGGAGAGCTGGACAGGGGGAAGGGGACGCTGTGGTCCCCACTCAGAATCCCTTGACTCGCTCACACACACGCACACACGCACACACACACGGGTGGAGGAGCATCAGGAAAAAAAAAAAAAAAAGAGGTTAAAAATATATATATATATATATAATAGATACACAGTTTATTTTTTTTTTCCTTTTAAATTGCTTCTCAAAACAATAAATAAAACTCCTCAGGGGAAGTGCACGTCCTGTTTTGTTTCTACCTGTGCAGCACCCTGGGGAGAGGATGCAGAGCTGCCTGTGCTGTTACAGACGGGCTGAGCGGGGAGATCCAACGAACCATCACACAGAGAAGCTGAAGGGGAGGGGATTTATGGTTGGTTTTGTTTGTTTTGTTTTGTTTTTTTCTTTTTAGTGCATCATTTAAAGAGCCTACTCTATTTTACAAAGGTTGTTTGCTGACACCCCCGAGTTTGCTAACACCTACCTGCTTTACTGAGCTACAGGGAGGCGTGAAGGGGATGGGGGAGACCCGACCCAGAGGCCATGTGGGACACAAGGAGGGAGCAGCAGCACAGCCGTGATGGTCCCCACCCCTCCGGTGTCCTATTTGCCTGCACACTGCTCAGGAAGAGCCCGCGGGCACACCCCAGCACTGCCCCACGACAGCGTGTTTCCCCGTGGAAAGGATGTTCCGTAAGGGTTCTGCAGTGGGTTCGTGCCCAGAGAGCGAGGAACTGGGCCGGTGTCTACACTTCGGTGCCAGCAGCGGGAAAACCCCGCTCTGCAAAGCCAGCCGAAGTGAAGAAATGCCTCATTTGTGGGTGGGATGCAGTGTGGGGGGAGAGGGGGGAACAGCCCACCCCGGCTCGCCAACGCCTCTCCCCGCAGCACTGGGCTGGGGATGTTGTAAAATCCCCAGTTCCCGGAAAAAAAAAAAAAAAAAAACTACTTCAGACCGGCCGGAGACGATCCCGGCGCAGCCTGAGCCACACCACCCTCTTCTGGCTTAAGGAAAGCACGTTCCAAACAGGCATCGCTCCAGACAACGGAGCTCGGCAGGAAGAAACGGGAAAACAACGTGGTTTTCCACTCGCTAGGGAGGAGGGGGGAGTTGGAGTGACCCCATCCATTCCCCCGAGGTCCCCGATTCCTGCTGGGAGTGCAGCAGAGAGCGGGAGCATCCCTGCACACCGGGAACCTCCTTATTTCCAAGGCTCACTTCAACATCCTCCTGCGTGTTTCTGACCTCTCCAGACCCACGGAGGGGGGGGGACACGCCAGCGTGTTGGGAACCCTGTGGAAAAGCATCCCTGGTGTAAAGCCATCGCCAAGTGGCTGCTCCCAGCTGGGAGCCCGGCCGGGTCTGGGTCTGGGACATGGAAATTTGGGGAGCAGGGAGGGACAGGGAGAGGGTGCAAGGGAAGAGCCAAGAGGGTTGAACAAGAAATCGCTGTACAACTCGGCCATGTCCAAAGTCAGTATTATTACAATATACTCTGACAAAAATATAATCTCATTTCATATCAATACAACAGAAAAAAAAAAAAAACCAAAAAAAAACAAACACCAAAAAAACCCCCCAAACCCAAAACCAGTTTTCTGTACTGTTACCATCGCTAACAGATTGAAACTCGCTATTTACAGTTACAGTAGCCAGGTAAAACACTACAGGTGAGAGAACAGAGAGAGGAGGGGCAGAAGGACACAGAGGAGAAAAAAAAAATCTCTGGAGGAAAGGGGAAAATAAAGGGGGAAAGGCCCTCTTAGATCCCGAGCATGGCTTCTGGCATTGGACAGGGAAGGGTGATGGATGGAGGTAGTGAAAACATAATACTTGGTTTATGGATCTGGTTGGGATTTTTTTGTGGAAGAGAAAAAAAAAAAAACAAACCACAAAACAAAGCAAAACAAGATAGAAAAGGAGAAAAAAGAGAAAGGAAAGAAAAAAAAAGAGAAGAAAGAAAAGGGAAGTGAGAGGGGAAGGTGGAGAAAAAGGATGAATATGGGAAAGGGAAGCAAGAGCAAACGTTCAGCTGAAGCCCACAGTTATGGACTCGCCCACAGCCCTGGGAGAGGTGGACAGGGATGAATTTTTGCCACTTTGGGTGGTGAAAATCCCCCAAACGTTCCCAAATTGTGCCCTCAGCCAGAGCGATGGGAAGGAAAGGCAGGATGTGGCACCAGGGATGGCACGACCAAGGCATGGCTGGGAATATCCTCCCTCATCCAGTGGATGCTCACCCCAGCAGCACAGAGGGACCCCTGCAGAGGGACCCCTGGAATATTGAGGGCCCCTCACCCCTGACCAAGCTCTGGGCTGGCAGAAGCAGTTTGCAGCCTTTCCCCCAGAGCTGGTGACAAACTTCCCAATTCCCACCCAAAGCGTTAGGGGGAATCTCCCAAATGAGCAACAGAAGGGAAGAAAGAAGTGCAGGAGTTGAAATCTTCAAGGAAAAGGTGGGTTTTTTTCCTAAATCTGCTTTTTTCCCTGGTTTGCCAAGATTATTTTGGGAAGGGAAAGGGAAGTGAAAAAAGGATGGAAGAAAAGGAAACTCTTTCTCCTTGCCCCGCTTTCCCCCAGGCCCACGCACGGCTCCGTTGCCACCAGCTCTGGATTTAACACTTCCATCACCCTCCAACCCCAACACTGGCAGCAGCCCCAAACACACAGCAGCAGCAAAACCCTTCCCCAAGGGTCTCCTCGCCACCACCCCTGGTGGTGCCCCTCGCACAACCACAACCCACTGCCGGACCCCCCC